CCTCCAACTCCTGGGCTCAAGCAAGTCTCCTGCCTCACCCCCCCAAGTAGCTGAGACCACAGGCTCCCGCCACAACACCTGGCTATTTTTTGGTTGCAGCCATCATTATTGTTTGGCGGGCCTGGGCTGGATCGAACCCACCACCTTAGGTGTATGTGGCTGGCACCAAGCCTAGTTCCCTTATTAAAAGTGGTGGAGGCTTGAAGGGAGTCCAAGGTTTGGGTGGCTTGATTAAAATACCCCTGCATCCCAGTCTACCTCCTAACCTGAGTGATATAAAACCATGCTGGTGAGGATGTATAGCTACTTCTAAAAACCCTGGAGAAAAGCTGATATCCCTAGCGAGGGGGCACTGAGACTTCAGGAAAGTGGCATACCTCGTGAGCATCCAGGCTTCTATCCTCCAACACAGAGAGACACATCAGAGACACAGGAAAGGCTCTGCAGGTCAGAAAAAGGTGAGGGGCAGCACTGCTGGTCAGATCCCCAATTTCCTTGCAAACTCCCATTCTTGCCAGCACAAAGATGAGAGGCCAAAGAGAAGAGACAAAGAAGTCCTTCCCTGCCAGATCTCTGAGAGATGGCCCGTCATTATTCCCCAGATCTCAGGACAGGAACCTTAAGACAGCTCATAGACCTGCCACTCATACAGAGGAAGCAAAAGCTCAATGTAAGACAGAAAGCCAGAAGCCTCCTGGAGTTTGGCAAGACCCCTGAGTAGAAGAGGCAGCTGCTGCACACTAAATCATCTTTATTAAACTCATCTGTATGTGTTTGAATATATGCGTATGTGTGTACACACGCACACAAGCACATACTTCAAGCCTGGGGCACCACCCCATAGAGCTGGTGGGGAAGTAACTTCTGCTTCTCGTTGCAACTGTAGATCCATCGGGGACGGACGAATGCCAGGGAGGGGTTTTCCATCAGGGCCTGCAGGTGGGGTGGGAGTCCATGTGGAAATTTGTGAGAGGAAGGGACAGAGAAGACTCAACATTGGGTGGGAGTCTTCCTTTCTCTGCCCCTGTGGGACTAACCTCCTCAAAGCTGGGATCCCACTCCTGTGCTGTGATCACAAACTGGACCCGGTCGCTCATATAGTCCTCAAGCTCCCTTGTGAAAAGAGAAGAGGCAGAGGGCACACCAGGGAATCAGATCCTCTGTCTTGACTTCCTTCTCCCCAACCATTCTCAGTGGCTGTTCTCTCTCTATCCCCACCTATGCCCCCTCTAGGCTGCCTGTGAGCCTCCACTCTCCCACTCTCTCATGTGGCTCTTGCCACAATGACAGTGGCTCCCACAGTGGCTAATCATGGTAAAGGCCCTTTCAGAAATGGTGTTGGGGCTCAACACCCATAGCTCAGTGAGTAGGGCGCTGGCCACATACACCAAAGGTGGTGGGTTCTGGCCTGGGCCAGGCCTGCTAAACAATAACAACTGCATCCAAAAAATAGCCAAGCATTGTACAGGGACCTATAGTCCCAGCTACTCAGGAGGCTGAGGCAAGAGAATTGCTTCAGCCCAAGAGTTTGAGGTTGCTGTGAGCTGTGATGCTGTAGCATTCTACTGAGGGCAACATAGATTCTGTCTCAAAAAAAAAAAGTGAGGTGGGAATCCTCACTTTTGAGAAGAGGAAACCAAGGAGAAGCAATGTGACCAGGGCTGCCCTGCACAGTGGGTGGGGCAGACATTGGGACTTGACAACCTTTGCCCACTGGATCTGTCCAGTGGATATCTGGATAGTCTGCTGGATATGTCCCTTCCCCACCCTTCCAATGGCCTTCTTACCCATAACTCCCACCCCTCCCACCAGGTCCCTAAGCCTTTCTTAGGCCCATCACCCCTTCTCTACCCCCCTCCCCCAGAGACTGACCCATTGAAGGCTGTGACATATCGGATGAGCTTCCGCCGCTCATCCCCAGGGAACTCCCCATACAGGAAAAAGTGCTTGCCCTGGAAGAAGTCTGCGGGAGAGAAGGTGCAGAAGGCTAGCGTGAGGCCCCTGGAGTTCCAAGGCACCAGCCAGGAGAGGGCTATGTACATGTGGGCGGGGAACTGATGGCAAACAACAACTCCCAGACCAGAAGGTCTATTTGTTTGTCTACATTAACAGTAGAAGACACAATTATTGTGACCTGCTTCTGACAGATGGGCTGGAACCACTTGATAAGTCTGGTCAGGGCTAGAAGCTTTAGCATCTGCCACCTACTTCTTCACCTGTTGCTCTTGTTCCTTTTCAAAAAGTGCTTTTATTGCTCTGATGCCTCTTTGTTCTTTCCATTTTAATGTGACTTTCCAGGCCATCAATCTGCTGATGCCATTTCTGGCTTTGGAGGATCAAAGTACTTTCCTGCCCGTCACTCAGGAAGAACAGGGTGGGGCAGCACCTGTGGCTCAGTGAGTAGGGTGCCGTTCCCATATACTGAGGGTGGCGGGTTTGAACCCAGTCCCAGCCAAACTGTAACCAAAAAATAGCCAGGTGATGTAGCAGGCACCTGTAGTCCCAGCTACTTGGGAGGCTGAGGCAAGAGAGTTGCCCAAGTCCAAGAGCTGGAGGTTGCTGTGAGCTGTGATGCCACAGCACTCTACTGAGGGCAACAAAGTGAGACTCTGTCTTTAAAAAAAAAAAAAA